TGTATGTCAAAACACAGTTACAGGGAAAATGTGGAGCCTGGCTGACATGACCAACAAGACCTGTAACCTACCTGTTTTTCCACAGAGCAATGCTCCCCTAGACCTTTCCTCTGGCAGCAGAATCCTCCCTGCACCACAGACAGTAACTGTGTTTGTGTTGTACTGAACACACTAACGAAAGGGGTCGCCTGCGAGAAGTAAAGGTCAAGAGAGGTTCTGGGGTAGGTCTTTGGAGAAGAAACTCCGGGGACTTGGGGGTGCAAAATTAATTAAAACAAAACAAAACCAAACCCCCGGAGCCTTCAGTCAGGTATGTCTTGGGCCAATTATACACATTTTCATTCAGGGTTGTTTTCAAAACACTGAACAATGATCTCTTTATTCCTGCTAGTAGCTTAAGGGTCCGCTTTATTATCCCCCATAGTTATTATCTTCCATAAGATAGAAACTGAAGGGCAAAGGGAATTATCCTATGAAACAATTCAATGTGCACGTGATTTCAACTTCTCCACTCTTCAAAGGTCATTTTCTCAGGGGCAGAAATCATGGTGTGTATAGATTTTTCTTTCATTCTGGGCCAGGCCTATTGAAGATCCTTGATAAATATTACACATGTGGATGATGCTATTACACAAGGAAGATGTAGTCTTGAGCCTCAGACCACTCCCACTGAGGATCAAGGAAGGGAAGGCTTTCCTCCCACACACCCTCTCACTGCTCTGGGTCAAGAGTGATGCATCGGACTGGCCCTACAGCAACTATGCCATGTCTCCTGGCAATGTCCTTTGGTTAAGAAGGCTCTCTGTCCCTCGACTCAACAAGCCTGTCACCCTCGTGGGAATTCTTTGCAGGAGACCTATGCGATGGAAGTCCACAAGCATCTAAGAGGACGGAGGTCAATGGAAGTAGCCAGAAGATTCCAAACATTAGCTCACATGCTCAGGCTTACTCTCATGGGAGAACCCCCTCGTCTGAAGAGGACGAGGAGCTGCTGGTCCAGCCAGTCATGCACAATCACAATCAGTCCTAAATGTTTTACTTAAGGATTTACATTCAACTCAGGGGCTCAAGTGGCCAGATAACAATGTTTACAACAATGTTTACAAATGACATGAATTCTGGAGAAAACAGGCAGCGTTTGTTTAAAGACGAGGCTGCTTGCATCTCTGGGTCAACAGTTAGGATGAGTGTGGACCTATGGACAGGTCATAAACAGAGACCTCAGCTGAGAGGAAAAATATTTCTCTACCACGTCTTCTTTTCTAGAGGGACAATGGCAACATTCTAAATGTGATTCATTTCTGAAGAGCTCTGTATTCAAGGAGCCCAAATGAAATAAGCTCCCATTCCACAGGTGGATAAAGCTAAGTCTGCAGTTCTCCATGAAGCCCGGGACTGTTCGGATACTGGGACCCACTGGGAGGGAGTGTGTGGACCCACATTGGTCACATGGTGGTCTTCAACCAGAATTGTAGTTAAGTCTCCTTACTGGATAGACCCTGAGCCTGCCTAGTTTATATTCATTCCATTTTTGCCACAAGGCAAATAATATTTTTTAAAACTCATTACATTTTAAATACCAAAACTGAGATGCAAAATTTACAAAGAAAGCTATCTTCTAGTACAAATGTGTGACCACGCTCTGGTACCTGCAGCCACCAACCTGGAGGTCTCTTATAGAGACGTAAGGAAAACCCTTGCTTCCTGGTCACCTCTTGGTGGTTCCCAGTTAAAGGGACTCCAGAGTAGTAACAACTTAATCTTCATCTCCCTTCTGAGGGTTAGGGGAAGAGATGGTCCGCTGGCCCAGTTGCTGGCCCGACACCTAACAGGGCTCCAGAGTCAGGTGCTGGATTCGCTCCAAGTTTTGAATCCTTGCCAATCAAATGCCCACAGGGTGGGAGGGGAAGGAGTGTATCTTAAGCATTTGATGACTAATATGTACAACATATTTTTGGAAATGTTGGTTTCGACCTACTTAGGAAGCTGATGTGTGGCGCAGACCAAGAGCGGGTCTTGAGACCTACACCTCCCTTACGTGGGAGTTTTCCCCTCACAGGGAGCTGCTGCTGGGTGCTTGTGAGAAACTCTGAGGCCTCAGTGTGAAAAGGTGATTTCAATTAGTTTTGGGTTCTTTCCTCACTGTTGTTTTTCTATTGTGTATATCATTATCAGCTGAGGATTCATCCAGACTTTTCCCTGGGCTTCCTTGAGGTGTGTGGGCCACAATGCCTGTGTGGGTGGGTGAATGACCTTCCCACTCTGGGCAGCTGAGGGGTGCTAGTGTCCTCTCTCCCCTGGAGACCCCAGAGGACCCAAGTGCTTCTTTCTGGCCCTTCTTCTGCCCCACTTCTGTTGTGAACTCACCCTCCGATCCATATGCCATCTTCTCCCCAGTGTTCAGGATAATCTTGGCCCCAATCAGTTCTTAATGAGGAAGTGAGGAGAAGCTGCTATGTTCACGTTGTCTCCAGAGACCACCCCCATTTCTTTCCTTTGCTCTCCCCTCTCTTATCCCTCCCCAGCGGAGCTCCTGTGGTGGGCAGAACAACGCCTGCCCCCACAGACGGCCACCTTCTAATCCCAAGGGCCTGTGGATAGGTCACCTTACAGGGCAAAAGGGACTTGGCAGATGTGACTAAATTAAGGATCTTCAGATGAGGAAATGATTGTAGATTACCCAACTGGGTCCAATGTAATTACCAAGTGGGCAGCAGGAAGGCCAGAGCCACAGACAGAGATGTGATGATGAAAGCAGAAATAAGAGAGTGAGAGAGAGACAGAGACCAACAAAAAGAGAGAGGGGTGCCTGGGTGGCTCAGTCGGTTGGGCATCTGCCTTCCATTCAGGTCATGATCCCAGAGTCTCGGGATCGAGCCGCACATCAGGCTCTCGGCTTGGTGTGGAGTCTATTTCTCCCTCCTACCCTACTCGTGCTCTCTCTCAAATAATAAAAATGGATAAAATCTTAAAAGAGAGAGAGGGAGAGACAGAGAGAGACAAAGAGATTGACAAACAGAGAGACAGAGAGAGACACAGAAAGAGAAACACAGAGACAGACAGGCAGAGAGACTGGAAAATGGTCCACTGCTGGCTTTGAAGATGGGAAATGGGGCCACAAGCCAGGGAAGGCAGGCAGCCTCCAGAAGCTAGGTAAGGCAAGGAAGGGGATTCTCTCCTAGAACCAGAGGGAATCAGCCCTCCCAACTCCTTGATGTCAGTCCAGTGCACCCCATGCTGGACTTCTAACCCTCTGGACTGTAAGATAACACATCTGTGTGATTTGAAGCCCCGAGTAGCAATCATTTGCTACAGCAGCAATAGGAAACTCATACAGCCCCAAACACCAAGGTAGAGGGTGCAAATGTTGGGAGCAGGGAACGTGATGGGTGAGGGAGCCCTACCAGGGCCTTTGTCCTCCACCACTCCTCGCCTCCCCTAGCCAGTGCGGCCCTGGCCTTGGCCCTGGCTCTGCCCCAGCAACTGTCAGCATCCGCCTCTCTCTGGCCTGCCCTAGACCTACTTCCCTGCAGACAGTACCTCTCCCCCTGCTGGGCCAAACTTCCAACAAAGGTCACAAACAGCCTCCCTCACCCCCTTCTCCTCTGGCCAAATCTCCTGGGCAATGAGAAGAGGGGTACCCTAGTTCAGATGTCAACAACAGAGGGTCAGAGGCAACCTGCAAACTTGGGTTAGATGCCTTTCACTCAACATCCTGGGGGTGAAAAGCAAGTTCACAGACATAATTAGCATGGAAAACAAGTGCTAAGCATTAGGGCCCAGCCACTGCCCTGGATGCAAATCCACGCCAGAGAATCTGAAAAACAAAGACTCAGACTCACAACCTAAGGTATGTGACCTTTAGAAAAAAACACCTGCACCTACCTCTTGCCCTTGTCATGACAGGAACCAAAGTAAACACTAGCTTCCACATTTCCTCTTATGAATAATTGTGGTATTATTGTTCACCCTCTCTTAAGCACCTTAAATGTTCTAAGAGAGTGCCTCATGTGAAACGAGATTCAGGGCTGTCCTGAGGCCATCCACGGGGGGAATGCCCAGGAACATGACAATGTAAGTGGACAACCTAAGAGGCAGACAGGTGGAGTGGATGATGCTGGCCACCAGCGGAGGTGGTGACACCATCGCTCTGCCACCCATGTGTACCTTGGCCAAAAACTTAGAAAAATCACCGGAAGACAACAGTTTTCTACATTTCTCCATTGAAAACTTTGTTGGCAATACCTCACATCTCCTCAAAGAAGAGTTGGCCTTAGTCAATTCCCATACAGAGGACATTTTAATAATGGATCAAATTGGGAGACATTTTTTTTCTGATGTGAAAAGATAAGCAGTGCCTGCCAGGAAATCTTCTGGGGGCCATGAGCCCCAGAGAAAGATGCTCCTCAGATCTTTCCAGTATCTTTGACATTTTAGAATGCACACATATGAAATAAGCCAGCCACAAAAGGACAAATATGGTATGATTCCTCTTCTAATAGGTTCCTAGAGCAATTCATAGAGGCAGAAAGTAGCACGGTGGTTACCAGGGGCCAGACAGGAGGGAATGGCGAGTTTTGGTTTAATAGGTATGGTTTCAATTCTGGAAGATGAAGAAAGTTCTAGAGAAAGGATGGTGGTGACAGCTGCACAACAGTGTGAATGTACTTAATGCCGCTCAACTCTACTCTTAAAAATGGCTAAAGTGGCAAATTTTATGTTATGTGAGTGTTACCACCATAAAATAAACCCCCTACTCCCCATACCTACACACCACAACTCTATGACATCCTGTGTTCTCACACTGAACCATAGCGATAAACACCTAGAAGGTTTTCCTTGGGCGATTGCTTTCTTCGGCTGCAAAGAAGAAGGCAGAGGAAAGGCATGTCGTGGAGCACCCGGCCCCCGAGGACAACACTGCCCCTGGGAGGCAGGCGAGCCCAGCTGTCCCTGAGAGGACACGGCTGGGGGGGGGCTGGCCCATGAGGAGGTGCTACCTTGTCTGAAAGTGCTGCTCCAAATCACAGCGCTGCAGGACCTCGGTGCAGTAGTCCGAGAACGGGCAGGTCACCAGCAGCTTGTCGAGGAGCTTGTTGACCAGAATGCTGGACCTCTTGCAATGCTGCAGCACCACCGGCTTGCGGTCCACGGGGCAGAAGTCCTTCTCCACCAGGAAGTTGGTAAGGCACAGGGTGCAATACGTATGTCCACAGGGAGTGTCCAGAGGCTCCAGCAAAGCTTGCAGACAGATGTGGCATATGAGGTCATCATCCACATCTTCCGTGTAGGTGTAGAAGTGGTTCTCCTCGGGGGAGTGGGCTTGGCCACATACCACACACGGGGGAGCAGGGCTGGGATCAGGGTGACAGGCGGGGTCTGGCTGGCTCATGGTCAACGGGGGAGATGGTCTGACAGGAAATTGGCCCAGGAAAACGGAATGTCCTCAGGAGAAAATCAAGATCTTCTAGGAGCCATCCACAGACCTGAAAGAGAATAAGACAGCTCATCTTCGTTTTCATGGCCACCTAAAGACTCCACTTGCAATGGACTTGAGACTCTGCCACCAGTGGGCAGGAACCGAGCTGTGATTCAGAAGGCCAGGGCTCGCTGCCCACTCTGGTGACCGACATGACCTTGGGCAAGGGACCTTGCCCCTTATGCCTCTGTTTACCATCCATCCTAGTGGCAATAATATTTACCTTTAACATCCTCACATTGGGGTGGGAAAAACCATTGGGTACTGTCTGGGAAATGCCTAGAGGAACTCAAAAGAAATATGCCCTAAGAAACATAAATTGTATTAATTTAATAAAATGAATTAAGAAAATTCTATTAGACCAGTGATTTATAAAATGCTCTGTCAGGGAGTGCCTGGGTGGCTCAGTCAGTTAAGCATCTGCCTTCAGCTCACATCATGATCCCAGGGACCTGGGATTGAGCCCTGTATCGGGCTCCCTGCTCAGCGGGGAGTCTGCTTCTCCCTCTCCCTCTGCCTGCCACTCCCCCTGCTTGTGCTCTCTCTCTCTTTCTCCCTCTCTCATTCTGTCACATAAATAAATAAAATCTTGAAAAAAATAAAATGCTCCATCAGATCGGGACAAGAAGAAAAACAGTTAACCCTCTAACGGCTTTCTCCTATCTTTCTCCACAGCTTTCTCTAAAACTCAGAAAATGTAGGACATCAGAGCCTTCGACTAAATCATCTGAGAAGAAATGAGAGCTGCTGAGTGTGTTGTATTTTTACTGTGGTGAGAGAACGTGTTCGTCCGTATGCACGTCATCCACTCAGTCAGTCACTTAGCGGTCACGTGGGCTCTGGGGCTGCACTGCCTGGGTTCGAATCCCACCGCTGCTGTGGGCCAGTGATTGAATCCATATCTGTAAAAGGAGAATAACAATAGCCTACCTCCTAGGATTGCTGTGAGGATGAGATGAGATATGAGACATAAAGCTCTTACAGTTGTACCTGGAATACAGTAAGTGCTCAGTCAATATTAGCTACTGTCTTTACATGTGTTTGTACTGAATTCATTTGGTCTCCCGTGTAGCTCAGTCGACCTAGAAAATGAAAGCTATAGTTCCTCTCAGGGGTCTTTTGGCTTTGTTTTAATAGTGCTCTTTTATTTAATTATATATATATATTTCAAACCAGTGGAATACTATCACACTATGTATTTTCCTTTGGGATAGGAGTTCAAATAATGGAGGTTTTAACATTCCTGATTAATATCTGGAAGCGTCTTGGAATCATTCAATAGATATGTTTTGAGTATCAGCTCTGAGCTGGGTAGTAAGCTGGGTGTGGAGGAGACCTTCAGGAGAGTTCTCAAGGACATGCCCTTGCTCTCGTGGAGTCCCCAGGCCCGGGGAGGCAGGCGTGAGCACAGGTAACTGGCAAGCCTGCGTGACCAATGTGAACAGAAGTGTGCACTAGGTGCACGCTTAAGAATCCTGCACCCTCCCTCACCCACCGCCCCCTCGACTTTGTTCATTTTGGAAAGTAAATGAAAAGACTTCAGGCATTCCATAAGAACATAAAGACACATGAAGAAACTTAACAGGAAACCTGCTGCATTTGGAAATGGCATGGCATTCCTAAACCATGTTCCATCTTTTTTCTTTACCAAATGAAGTCCAAGGTTGTTTGTAGGAGCATAGCCTTATCTCAAAAAGAAAACACATTGACTTCAAGCTCTCTCTAGGTCAGCTTCATGTTTACATTTCCGGACTGCGCTCATATGCCTGAAAGAACACTCTGGTCCAGAGGTTGAAGTAAAATGCCCCGAATGTGAAAACACTCAGAAATCATAACATTTTATTTAGCATCAGAAGAGACCACAGGGGCGCCTGGGTGGCTCAGATGGTTAAGCGTCTGCCTTCGGCTCAGGTCATGATCCCAGGGTCCTAGGATCGAGTCCCGCATCGGGCTCCCTGCTCCTTGGGAGCCTGCTTCTCCCTCTGCCTCTCTCTCTCTCATGAATAAATAAATAAAATCTTTAAAAAAAAAAGAAGAGACCACAGAAGGCTAAGGTAGAGAGTGCAGAAGGGGATGAAGTTGTTTCTAGCCCAATTTCAGGGAAACATACACAGCTGCTATGTGTCCTCAAGGCTGATAGAAGGCACTGGAACCACACAGGAAATGCTTTAAGTGGCATGAAAAAAGAAGTCAAAAAATCAACATGAAAACGGAAATGGGCCACCCAAAAGATGATCATCAACCACAGGAATAAAAGTGCACATATTTTGAACTTTGACAAGAGTTTGGTCAAATACTCCCACGTGTTTGGGTCGTGTCCATTCTTTCTCATTGTGCTGTACTGGAAAGTGACAGGAATGCAGTCGTAGCTCTGGTCATGCCACCGAAAAAACAACTTCACATTTCTGGGCCCTGCCCGGAAATGTGAAATGGTGGAGCTGAACCAGACGTTTGGTTTTTCAGACTGTGTTCTGGAAAGTGGCAGATGCCTCAGTGTCTTCTAGGGGAGGGAAGATGGGAAGGCAGTTTGGGTAGAGCTGTGCCCACTTCTCCACCCCACCCAGTCCCAGCTCCATTTTGATGTGTTTCTGACACATCAGTTTCCTTATAATATTCTGTTGGATAAAATCCAGCTTTAAAAAAATAAATAAAGGGAAAAAAAAAAAGCAAGCCACCAGACCAATACTATAAAGTCCCTTTCAGAAAGAGAGTTCTAGGATTCTATGCTAACAAAGCAGAGGGTTTTGCTTTGTTTTGGGTGGTCAGCTTCTGGGAAAATCTTTTTTTCTTTGCCTTCTAACAGTTTTGAGCATTTACCATGTGTCCGGCACTGTCCTAGGGGCCTTCTATAGACTATGTTATTTAATCCATGCAAATCCCCAGGGTTGTTGGGTTTTGTTTGTTTTCATTTAACAGATGAAAAACTAAAGTATGACAGGGAAGTAACTTGCCAGTTTCCACCAAAAAAGAAACAAACCATGAAGTGGTGCTGACTCCAGGTTCTGTTCCTAACCATTTCGCTGTTGTGTCCAGGCATCTTTCCTGATCAAGACTAGTCAGAATGGAACCAGCCGAGTATAAGAGCCCCAAGAAATTAGGTTTAAAGTCTCTTTAGGCCCATTGCTAATAGGCTTTTCCAAGGCTCTGATTAAAAATATTCTTTCCCTTTACTAACCGCTAGAATGCCCAAGACCGAATGAATGGAATGAGGAATGGGCAAGCAAAAATAGTGGGTTCTAGTTCCAACCCCAATTCTTTTTTCTTTCCTTTTTTTCTTTTTCTAAGAGAAATTTGAATTCCCTGGCCCTTGTCCATGTGAGTAGACCAGATTCCTAACATAATATTAATGTAAACACTCCCGTATATATTTTCCAACTTTGCTTTAGACTAAATAAAGCCTAAATGAATAGACACAGATTATGAGAGAATTGCCCCCCCCAAAAAAAAGCACTTTAGGCTCTAAAGAAAGAACTAGGTAGACTTTAAAAAATATGATTAATATTATTTGAGGTTTCTTATTTCCAGTTTATGTCTCATAAACACGTGTGATGTATCATGTTTTTAAGACATGTATGTGCCTTGCTGAACCGATAAGAAATTATCTAAAATCATTATGGCTTAAAGGTAAACTCTTTTTTCTTCTAAAAGCAAGTAAGAGGGCCTGTCAGCTTCGAGTCCATTCATGTCCCTCAGTGTGCCAGCCCTCAGCACCCCTGGCCCTGGCTGAGGTAAGGCGACAGAACTGCAATATGGCTTTGCTGCAGTTTGGAGAAAAGAGAAGGGAAGTCGATTCCCTCCTTGGGTGCGTGTATGGGGCACGGGGGTGAAAATAGTACACTTCCTTCATAGAAACCTATTGTGGTTTAGGAATGATCTTTTCTGTCTCTCCTGTGATTCGTGGTGCAATAGAAGCCCAAGGTGACTTTGAGAGGGACGTGCAGCCCACCAATGTAGTGGTGAGAAGGGCCAGGAAAAATAAAAGTCTATATCTGGGTCCTTAGTCCCTGTTTCCTTTCCCACCAGTTTATGGTCGCACCCAGAATTTGTACAGAAGTTTCTTCTACCTAACTTACAAATTCTAAACTTCTCTGGCTGACAACAAAGCCACATTCCAGAGCAAACGTGAGTCAGCACTGTCTGCTAGGTCGTTAGAGGTCATATGTATCCTGTCACCTGCATTAAAAATCCAAAAGTCTTAAGAACAAACATATTTTCACAACTAAAAAAAAAAAAAAAAAAAAAGAACAGCCGTTGGGATACAAACTGTTTGGAAGTGGGAAAATGTCTGCATGACATAGCCGACCAGAACAACGGGGTCCCTGGTGTGTTCGTGTCCTACTAATTCTCCGTTAAATGCACACTGGTTTTGCAGAAAATGGTTACCCGAGGATAAACCATATACTGTGCTGGAAAGACAATGGATAAACATATCATTTGGCAGGCTGCACTGACAATTTCACATTTTCCTCCTCCTGAAAGGACAAGACTCGACTCCACAGCTCCTCTTGAATGGCTGCATGAGTCCCAGTTTTACGACAGTAATTGGACGGCATACTATTAAAAAGAATTCATCCTCATAGTCAATGGCAGTGTGTCCTGCATTGGGATTTCGACCTTGACAAAGATGAAACATTGAGCCATAGACTCTTTGTGTTGAAAGGGACCTTGAGGGAAGGTCCCTAAATTAAACAGCCCTTTACTACCTTCTAAAATAGATCATCCTGCATTGGAGAGCTCTAACTACTAGGAGAACAGTCTCTAGATAGAACAAAAATTTGCTTCTCTAGAACTCACCTACCCCCTCCATGGGTGCCAGTATTCTCCTTGGAACTATTTAGAATAGGTCACATTCCAAAAAAAAGGGGGGGGCGGCGCCTGGGTGGCTCAGTCGTTAAGTGTCTGCCTTCGGCTCA